AAGTGCTAACAAGAAAAACAAATTTCCCTAAACAAAATTATAATATTCTCAGAAAATTTTCTCTATATTTAGATATTTTATAAATAAAACGTCGTATGTAAATAAACAGGAATTTGAATCTACAAACATTGTAAGTAGGAACAAAAAGGGAAGCGGAATGCTATTACGGAATCTATTCGTTGGGTAAGGAGCGAGGCATTAGCACCACCTGCGACCTGCGACGCGGTAGCTGCCGTGAATCAAAGCGGGGACTAATGAGGTGAACCCAGGCGGAACCTACCAGACATCCGATCTCGAGAACTCTATGGTAATTCTGTTAGTAAGAAGCGAGAAACTAAGCTTTTTTCGGTCATTTTATGCGCTTTTGCGGCCAGTTAAACATTTTTGCAGGCAGATTGATGAAATATGAGATTTATCTGTTTTTATCTACCGATTTTAAAATAAAAGGAGGAGGTATTTAAATCGATTGTTTTTTATGACTGTTACCTCAGAACATTTTTCAATATGAACCGATATTGATGATTAATTTTAAAAGCTAGATTTTAATATTAATAAAATAAACTTTGGAATGAACTGAGGAAAGTGTCAGCAAAGACGAAATTTAAACCTATTTCCTATTTCTAGTACTACTGTATACAATAACTGTTGAACTACCTGTTGAAATATTCAAGTAGAAATGTACAGGTACATATTCTAAAATTAAATTATATATTTCATAATTTGCTTCATTCCTGAAAGCGAGTAGGCACCTATAGATCTTATGTATAGTATTACCTACTATTAGTCATAAATGAATAAAATAATAAATTAACTTAACACTTTTACAATTTTGAAAAACAATTCAAAATAAAGACTTCAAATGTCAAATAGTTGCTAATATATCACAATATACTTACGTATTATTCTCAATAAAATATTACACTATCTCTCCAACTATATATAGTCCAGGAGCTCCACCGGCGCGACTTGTAGATGCACTGTGGCAGTACCGAGCTGGAATTTAAAATGGTTGCCTTACTTTATTCCCGTTTAGAGAGCTTTGCATGCAGCTCAGACGGGCCTTTGACGCACTCAGACAGCCACTTACTTAGCGAAACACAGATTTTTCTATATTACCCACATTTATATTACGCTATTTATAACTATTTTGAGTTTCACTGTACCATTATAATAATAACATATAATAACTAGCTGACCCGGCAAACGTTGCTTTGCCATATCAAATAATATGGGTATGAAAAAATTGGGATTAGTGATAGAATGGTGAAAATTTAGGGTTGTATTTTTTAATGCTACATTATAAAAACACTAAAAAAATTGTACAGAAAATTAAAAAAAATACGTTAGGAGTGGTCAACCCTTATCATTTAGAGGTATGAAAAATAGATTATAGCCGATTCTCAAACGTACTGAATATTTATATCAAATTTAATAAAAATGGAGGAGTATGGTAACTAACATTGAGACACGAGAATTTGATATAAACGAAGACTTCTTTTTAATACATACATAATATATACAGTAAACACCCAGACCGATACAAACAATCATACTCAGGAATAGAAATGTTTGTATCGTGCTAATAATCGAATCAATGGAAGCAAGGCACACCAAATGATTGGCCAGGTGCAGCTATATATATATTATACATGAACAACACGTTGTACCACCCACACACATTGCCTTTCTGGAGGAATAAACTGCTTGACACCTAAATTAGATGATGCAGAGGTACAACTTTATTCAAAGTCTACTTCGATGATGATTCTATTCAGCATAAGTAATGTGTAAACTTCGCATAATTCCCACACACCAGACCCTAAAGTCCGAGAGCTAATTATCGTAATTAGAACCAAGTTTTTATATATAGTAACCGACACTGAGCGCTCGCTCAAAGACGCCGAGATTGCTCTCCAGATAACGACTGATTGGCCGTGATGTATCGTATTATAGACCGCCACAGCTCGTATGTGAAATGTTTACTTTGTCTTATTTTTTACTATAAATGAATATGTTTTCAACTTTGTATAAAACAAAGTCGCTATCGCTGTCTGTCCGTCCCTTTGTATGTTTAAAGCTTTAAAACTACGCAATGGATTATAAAGCGGTTTTTTTTATTAGAAAGAGTGATTCAAGAGGAAGGTTTATATGTATAATACATGTACACCCGGGCGAAGCCAGGTAGCTAGTTGCTTATTTAAAAATTTAAGAAAATGAAATGAATATATCTTTATCAGTGTTTTTTCCAGTGCGTCCGGTGATGGAAACACCACTAACAAACCCAAGTAACAAGGGAGACGATGGTAGGTTCGGTGCTCGAATAAACATACTGGATCAAATACGAGCGAAGTGTGCACACGTCAAGTGTTGCGTTTACTTCAACACACATATATAGTTGACAATATCTCTGAATACCCCATCTGGGATAACAGAGTATTATTTATTATGTTATTAATATTTAAGTCATATCATATATTTATATGTAATATATTGTAGTAGTAAATATTAAGTAGTAGAGATAAATAATCTTTATCTAAGATAAAACGTAATATCTCTATTAGTATTCAAACTGTTATAGTTTTCCTAAAATTAAAAAATATACCAATACATCTTTACACAAGGCCAAAGCCATTGTCATGTGTTTGATTGTCATCCCTTTTTAGTCACAACCGTTGTTTTATCACCTTACTTAACACGTCTAATATATTTTAAAATGTTTATTTTAAAATTAAAAAAAGAATACTACAAATATAAAATCGACAAATTGGCAAGTAAATTTTGTTGCTAATTATTTCTTCTCTATTATTGCGCCATCGACTCCAAACAAGTTGGTGGTCTACAAACAAACTCATACAGTTCACCATTAGTGTCCAAACGCCGTCACGACATTATTGAATCCACTCGAGAAGCACTCGCTTTGAGTTGGCATCAATTTGGCGACCCCAGACTCAGTTCAGCTCTTGGGCCATTGTGCCACGCTGGGGAAAATATCAAAGTGAAATTATTTGATTCGCAGTTGAAAAGATCAAATACGTGTCTCGATATTGAGCACCTGACTTTTTGATCCGTAGGTACAATATTATATATGTAACATTGGTGGCATTCAGAGGTTGTAGGCTATTTGGGATTTAGTTTTCTACCGACTTCTAAAAGCAACAGTTTGTTTTTTTATTTCGTCATGCAGTAAAAGTAAGTCGAGGTATTTATGACAATTGAAAATTTATATGATTGTTTTCTTAATTCAATAAGACATATTTTTAGTAGAATATGGAAATAAAAATTACATAGATGAAATAAGTTTTAATATTAAGCAAGATGTAAGTACTAAATCTTCAATTTGGTGCCATAGGTACAAGTTGTTTTAGCCAATCCTACAGATAGTGCGGCTAAAGCAGTTTGCTCACTGGTGAAGTGATATAGATATTAGTTTTAGGGTACAATGCGACTGGCATGTACTTTTAGTTTGTACAAAAGTCCCTGAATTACACAGAAATGAAAAAAACATGTCCTATTATATATTTCAGTTCTAAACATTATTTAAACGCGAGATTTCGCGTGTTAAAGTTATTTATGAGTTGTCATTATTTTGAGGCGTTTCTACGTCTTGGTCACAAGTCGACTGGAGATGGCAGTGGATGTAAACAATGATTACACGCAGACAAATCTGTCTAGCCGCTTTCTGGTCTTTTTCGCCATATGTCGACTACCATTAGAAAACACTTTAACGGAAGTGTATAAGTAACTAGCTACTTGCCCTGGCTTCGCATGGATGTACATGTACTATATATATAAACCTTCCTCTTGAATCACTCTATCTATTAAAAAATCCGCTTTAAATCCGTTGTGTAGTTTTAAAGATTTATGCAGACATAAGGACGGATAGACAGCGACAGCTACTTTGTTTTATACTATGTAATGATATCAGTAAATATACAACTTATTTAATGTAGGTATTTAGGTAATCAATTCACATACCGGTACATTCACGCACAGTTGATAGAAGTAAGAGAGAAAGAGAGATGTTGTCCTTGGTGTTGATTGCCTGTGAGAGGGTATTATTGTTTATATTGTGATAATTTTCTACTAAATAAAGTGGTCTTTTAGTACTTATTTGGATCAACATTTGTTGATAAGTATAAATAGCAAATCAACGGTCAACGTTCCCTATTTATACTCAAAAGCGATGGTCTGAATTGACTATTCCATCAATAAAAAGTTTAAATAATTCGCTACTGAGTGAGAAATATAAAAAATAACAAAAGATAGTATTCGTTATTGATTAGAGTCGTCATTAGATGGTACAGTCGGTGTCAAAAAAAACCCACTCACATTCATCTTGCATTCGCATGTTTCCTGTCTGCCGCCCACAAGTGTATCGCTAAACGATCATCTGACCTAATCACCGCGGACACAACATCTCAGTCAAACAATAAAAAAACAAATGAACCGACAGACATACGGACCGACTACCGTTCGGTCGCCACGATGGGTGGTACAGCCTCCATGCTACTTATCTATATTCTATCTCGCATCTAACTTCATTACTACCATCAAATCGATCATTATCGGCACTCACGAACACCGCAACTATTTGTACTATGCAACAATAGATGGCGCTTTCCAAGTAACACAATTCAGCAAGATCATCTACCAATTAGTATCGTCTGCCCCTTTTACTTTATCTGAGAGAGAATGGGACAAAACATCAAAGGAGCGTAATGACGGGTCTTGATTGTAATTGATGATGCGATTGTCTATTATCAAGTTGGGGTCGAATTTTAAACGTGGATTTCTTTGTTCGCAGGTCACGCAGCGATGGGTTGTTAGGTGCGCGCGCGCAACCCAAGTTTGGTTTTGGAGGAGGTGGGGTACATTAGTGGTGGGTTGGTTTGTGTGGGGGGTGTTAGGGAGTAAGGTGAAGTTAGCGGGGTGGCGCTTCACGGGGGCTGGGGGCGGCCGGCGCCGGCGCCCGCGCACGCCGCCACCACGCTGGTTGGCGGACTGGTCGCGCCGCCGCGGGAACCCACCACGGCGGCAGAAGCTTTTTGGAAAATGCCTCATAAAGGTAAGTGCACATATTCTTCTGTGTATGTTCAGAGACTACAGCATGGGGTTTTTCAAGAAGACAGCTTATATATAAATTTTATAGATGACAACTCAGTATTACAAATATTTTAACATCTACCGAAGAGAGTTAACTTCAAAAGTTTAGAAGTGCACAAGTAACTGTTAAAACTGCTAGCTAGTAGTTTTCAACGTGACAGCAAAGTTCTTGGGTTCTTATTCGGGCCACAAGATCTGATTTAGTACGCTGACTAACATCAATGTCAAATCGATTTTCTCTTTAAGTAATTGGAATAGCAATCCACCTTGTGATAGCCCACCTGGTGGTAAATGGTGACCATCGCTTATAGACATGAACAGCACTAAAGAAATTACGCTCTCATGTGACTCTCATGACACTCGTGCCATTCGGATTTCCTGAGGACTCAGATATCATGCCTCTTACCTAGTAATTTCACTGCCTAATTGCACCCTACAACCACAGATAATATAACATTACATACTTCAACCATAATGGCTAGTTATAAAGCAAGCTGTTTGGCGACTGAAATAGGTGAGACAGATGATTTGAAATCCTATCTTGGTTAATATGAAAGTCAGTCTTGATAATTTGCTAGTATTCTTTTCTTGGTGCACCCGTCTGAGTCTGATGGTATACTCTGGCAAAGCATTAGTGAAAGATAAATCACTAGAAACTCAGGTCAGTTAGCCCATCTTGGGAAATTCATCAGAAATTAACCAGTGCCAGGGTTCGACCTGACATGGTAGGTATATTAAATCCGATGGATTCACTAGTACCCCTTACTACCAGGGAGGATCCCTCCATTTACTAGTATTAGTACATGAAAGCACATATTACACTGGTTTTTATTTAGTCAAAGGCGAAAATATGGTGTCTGATAAATTCAAACATCATTAATAGGAGTTCTGAATAGGCACTCAACACAAATCCTAACTATTCTAGCTTCCCGAGCTGGCTGGGCTAAGTTGTGCAAGTTTGCAAGTCGTTAAGTTACTGACCTTTAAGTTGGAAGTTTGTGCCGTCTAACCGCGGTGCTAACAAGCCACTGTAGTTCCACGGTCTTGGCGTGTATGGACGATTGTAATACGGCCTTTACAATTTGTAAACTATTACTTACTAGTATTCAATAAGTGTGGTTATGTGTAATATTTATTTATTTTATATATCCGTACTAATATTAAAACCATTATAGAATAGAATAGAAAATTCTTTATTCAAATAAACTTAAATTTAAGGCCAACCTTAAATTTAAGTTTATTTGAATAAAGAATTTTACCAATAACGCACACGTGACACGTCTGGTTTTTCAAACGTTTATAGGCGGTAAACGTTTACCATCAGTCGTATGCCCGTTCACCACCATCGTAGATTAAAAAAACGATTGAATAGTCATACTTATTTTTTTATCCGCTTATTCGGAAACCTGTCTCATCACAAGATGAACGAGTAAGAAATTTGCGAGATGCTCTTTTAATTAATTTTACAACTTTTCATTGTTATTTTGTAATCTGTGAATAGAAATTACTAACTAACTAACTACTCATTAGAGTCAAATTATTAAAAACAAAAAAGCTAGTTAAAAGTAAATAAGATTAAAACGTTAGTCGTAATGACCAGAGCCATTATGCCCAATGTTGGACAAAAAAATCTGTATTGACATACAGATTTTTTACATTTTTTAACTAACTCTTCGGTGATGTAAATACTGATATCGAACAAAATATTAATATTAGAGACGGCAGTAGACTCGACTTCTGCCACGTGAGATTCAAAATATACAAGTGAAATTTAGGTGTCATGTGTTAAGTTTAGCACATCATCGATAGTCGATATTGCCTCTGACTACCCCATCTACGATAATAAACGTACATTCTATGAATGTCTGTCTATCTGTTTGTTACCATTTACAGCTAAATGTCTTAACAAATTTCAATGAAATTTGACATGAAGATCGATTGAGATCATCGTATATCGATAACGTGAGGACAGCTATAGGCTATCTTTTATCTAAAAAAACATTATATACTTCTACAATATGTAATAGTATATGGTATATCAGAAATGTAACGAAATAGACTTTGAAAAAAGTCGTCATCATTGCAAGGACCACATGTATTTAAAAGAAAAAAAGAAAAATCTTTTAACACACTTTAAAAAAACGCTTTTATCTGGAAGCCGGAAAAAGTAAAATAAATGAAACTGATTTGACAACATCGTAGCAATTCGTTAAATACTCAGTAATAGATATATCGTATATTATTATTGAAATAAAAAAAAAAATATTCGGATTATTATTTTTCAAATATGAACGAAAAAAAGAAAATAAATAAAAAAGATATTAATGATCAGAACAGAACTTGTGTCTTGGCTCTACACGAAATATAATTATATACGGAGCCAAGCTAACGGGGCATACGACATTGTGTCACTTTAGTCGCCAGATAAAGACAAATAGTCCAGAAAAACTGTTGTTGAACGGAGACAAATAGTGTTCTCACAATCGTGCAGCAGTAATTTTAATGATTTAGAGCGAGAATTGGAGTGCTCTGATTTGAAATAAGTACTAAATGTTGGTTATTCTAATCAAGGAAGCTTGTCAAGTGCACATATTCGTCAGGCATAATTTACGGGTCCTGAGAATAATACATATGCTTACCAATTGATTAATTATATTCCTAACACACAAATATCACAGCAACAGCTTACGAACCTCTCTACAATTGAATTAAATTATAAATTTACAGTAATTAAAACTTATTGTTCTGAGGTAAACTATATTTATCTCTTAAAATAAATATATAACAATGTTCTAAAACAAATTTATTATAAGTATATATACTGCCAACATGTAACGTTACAAAAAAGAAAATATTTGGAACTCTGTTCTAAATTCAAATCAAATAACTGTCATGCAGTCACTGGGAACAAAATAATTATTGCATGAACCGTTGTAATATTTTATTTCAGAAGCGTATATTTGCAGGCATTTGTTTTTATAGATTAATTTTGAAGGTTTTGTATGCACATACATTCCCGCCTTAATTAGAACAAATCAAATAAAAATTATGAGAGAAATAGTGCAGATTTCTTTTTTAAAATTTCTTAAGGGCGGTGCTAACTTTTAGAAAACGTTCAGTTAATTACTCTGTGTTATTATGTAAAATCATAGCCAAAATGGAATGGAATGTAAACCGTGTCATCTTAATATAAAAACAGCATGGATACGATATTACGATTCATTTTGTAATTGATGATGCATTAGTGCAATACCTTCACATTTGCCAGAAAGAATTTTTTTTATTGTGTAAAAAAATATAGGTTACTTTTTAAAATAGTGAAGTGAGTTTGGTGATGCCTTTTTGTAATGAAAATTTCCTGGTTCTATGTTAATTTTATTTTAATTGAAGATCACTTTTGTTTGCTGAACTAATTCTTATGCTATTACAATGAACGTTACTAATTTATCTTGTCATGGGACATTCCAAAGAGACGAGTACCGTTTTATTACTAATCTTTAAAAAGTTACAAATAAAGACGACAAAGGCGAGCGCTTTGCAACAAAAAATTACGCCTTCTATTTATTTGTTTGAAACAATCACAGAAACATTCAATCTCTTTGCGAGTCTCAATTGTTCGTCAGGTGACAAAAGAAATTAAGCTGTTTGTGGTTTTGGAAACAAGGGAAGTTACTTAGTATCGGCTTCGAACGGTCTTGTTCATTACTTTGTTATTTTGAGAGCGTAGTGGTCTCGTGGTTTAGTACCTCGACACACGAATCAAAGATCGTGAGTTCCGATCTGGTCGACACTTTTTGCGTGATTAACATAGCTTTTGACTGCTATTTCGCTCGTGTACTAAATAGGGTATATCTACTTATAAAAGTGTATATCCAAATTTAGAGATACTAAATACTTACTATAATAACTGCCTAATTTTATTAGTTGAATCATTAATATAAAAGTTTCTTTTACCAGAAAACATTTCAAATACGTTTTAATAGAATAATTCGTTTGTTTAATGAAAATTTGGTTACCATACCGACAAATATTCAAAGATAAATATATTTATAAAAATATAAATAGACATTTTAATCTGGTGTAGGACATTAACAAAATACTACTTAATCAGATATCACAAACCTTTTTTATAAACACCATATTTCACAATCTCCCGATACACACTTAGTTCTATCACAGATAGATAACATTTAGTTCTATACATCGAGATATTGTTTGTCAATGGTTGAAGTTTTTTCGTGTATCCTCGAAATGGGCGTGTCTGGATATTCGCAATAAATTATGTCAGAGCGAAACAAATGGTCCCGCAGTCCACGATCGATGAATGAAACTAACAAAGTATATGATTTATTGAGAAATGCCTATTCTGTACTGACAGGATTGCGTATATAGAATTTAATACTGTATTTTCGTCCTTAAGTCGATTATATATGTAGCATACTTAAAATAAAATACATACTCATGAGTACTAATACTGTGCGAGGAGTCGAATCCGCGACTATTGGAAGTAAAGTGATATGTTAAACCGGGAGACCACGGAAACCTTAAAAAAATATTTTATTTTATTTTTATTTCGTTGCTATAATAAATACGTTAAGGTCGATGTTGCTAAGACATCATACACGTTAATTTTTCAGTCTCGATTTCGCCTATTAGTCTGTAATTTTTCTGCCTTATATGCATAGTATAATAGGCACGATATCTTAAACCACCGGAATGCTAACGAGTGTATCACAGGCGCTGCTAGCTGTTAGTGACTGAAATAAGTGAGGCTGAGGTACCCACTCTGAAGACCTTTTACAAAGTATACCTCGGTCATTTTAGTCCGAAATCTAACCTGACACTTCAACAGTCTCGGTGGTCTAGTTTTAGTAGTAGTAGTCCGATGGTCGTAGGTTCGATTCCTCGCACGGGACAAACATTTTGTATTCATGAATATGATTCTTCGTATCGGTTTGGGAG